CTGGCGCAGCGAGCTTTTGGCTCCCAGCCCAACACCTGGGCTGACACACTGACCCACTTCTTGCTGTGAACCTGTGCAAACGAGAGGCTCTTAACGGGGTTTTCCCTCACCCCCCAGCTGCAGCCCGCTGCAGCCCACTTTGAAAGGCTGGACAACATCCCTGGGTTCTCATAAGGGGTCCTGACCCCCCAAAAACACCTCCTCCAGCTTTGCCAGGGGTCCAGCCTGCTCGGAAGGGGAGGCAATGCAAGGATGGAGCTACGGAGGGGAGGAGAGAAATGCAGGAGGTTCAAGGTGGGAAAGCGGACAGCTCACCGTCACTGACATCCCCACTGCCAGCCCAAATAACAGGGGGTGCCCAGCATCCCCCGCACCAAGCCGAGGGGCTGCTTCATGCACCATCAGGGCTCTCCTGCCAGCCCAACCTTCATCTGTGGGTACTTCTTCATCCCCTTGTGAACTTCTCGAGATGTTCTACAGGTTGGTTGGGGAGGATCCTTGTGGCTATTGCATTATTTCACCTTATTGCATTAATTCAGGTCATAGGCACTCTCCCAACTGTGAAGGCTTCCCATGGGTGCCCAAAGCATCCTCAAAAAGCTGAGCCTTGAGTTCCGGAGCATGGGTTTCCAAACTCCTCCATGGCATCTGCTGCAGCCAGATGTTCCTTGGAGCAACATCCCTTTGGTTTTCCAGCAGCCCAAAGATGTTCAGCAAACCTTCACTGGTGGGACATCAAGGTCCAGGCTGGGTGGGAAGCATGGCTGAGCCCTTTGTGATGTTATTTCCACGAGGATGAAGGCTGGATGCTCTGCAGGACCCTCCAACAAGCACCAGGTAAGAAGGTGAAGGTCCCACGGCTGTGGTTGCTGGTAGATCTGCACCCACCAAGTGGGACCAAGGTCCCCAAAGGCAAATCCACAGTCCAGCATCGGGATGGAGTAAAGCAGGAGAGGACAGCCCTAATCATCAGCAACTCATTGACACAATGGGAAACTGTTTATCAACCGGGCTTGAGATGAAATTTAAGTCGGGGGCTTATGTAAGAGCTTTTTGGCAGGGAGATAAGCTTCGGGGTGTCAGGGGACCACAGATGGATGCACTCAAGGAAGGCAGATGTCTCCTCCACCATGTGCCTTGTGCACCGAGCTTGCCTTGGGATTTCAGGAATGGATGGTTTAGCAACAGGTAAAAAAAAAAAAAAAAAAAACAAAACCACAAATGCAGCCGGGCCGTGAGCCGCAGCTTTCAGATCGCTGGGACCGAATCCATCCCACGTGCGGCTCCGGTGACCTCAGCAGGTTTCCACCAGAGATGGAGCTGGGGTGTCAGCAGGCGTCCTCCTCTTTGCAGCTGGCAGAACCTGCTCCAGCAGCCTGGGCTTCAACCCTGCCAGGATTTACAGCTGGACAGAGGACACGGCCCCTTTTTGGGGTGGGGGGAACAAGGAGAACGGGCGGGATGAGGTGTCACACGTCCTGCACAGCATCATTCCTGACCCCAGGCTCGGGGCAGCTGAACCGTGCTGGATGCTCTATCCTTCCCACCCACCAGTGCTTGACCTGGAAAGATGTTTTGGGAATGGTTTCCCTGCTGTTGAGGGGAGTTCCCAACCTGTCCCTAATCCAAAAACATCTGGGCAGAGATGGGGGAAGGAGAAAACACACGTTGCTCTTGCTGGCGAAGGTAAAATGGGACTGTCCCCTTCAAACCAGGCTCATCCTTCTCCCCTCCCATCAGGAATTTGGGGGTGCAGGCTGTGATACCCCAACCAGGCACCACACTGATGCCAACACTCAGACAGGACCCCAGGGAAGAGGAGCAGCATCTGGGGTGAGGCTCTGGGAGTGGTGTCACCCCTTCGGGGTCACCCAGTTTACCAGGGTGGGAGGGTGGAGAGCTGATCCCAGCTCAGCAATCACCCCCCATCCCACCAAAACCGAGCAAAAAGCACCAGCAAAGCCCCCCCCCTGCCGCAGGGATGCAGCCAGCCCATGGCAGCGGTGGGAGACACTCTCATCTCCCCCCTCCAAGGGCTGGCTGCATCCCTGCTGCTTTTCTTCCAGCCCTGAACTGGTTCCACACCGAGCAGCCAGCGCATAGAGGAGAGGTCCAGGTTCTCAGGAGGACCATGAGTCAGAGGAAGCAAGAAAAGTTTCTCCTTTTTTTTTTTTTTTTTTCTTGGCAGGTGGCACTGAGAGCTCTTCCCAGCCAGGGAGGAGGAGGAAGCATGGCCATGCTCCTCCTCTTCTGGGCTCGCACCCCACGTTTCGGGGTGGCGGCTGCTGTGCACCAGAGCTGCCGGGGGCAGCTGGCAGGGGATGGAGCGGCAGGTTTCTGCCCATGGGGACAACCTACTTTTGGGCATCTCCTGGCCTCCCTCACCCCCTGGCAGGGCTTTTTGCAGGCTGCTGGCCAAATCCTGCCCACAGGACAGCAAAAGCTGGCTGGAGGGGGTTTGCTCCACCCCCTCTGCATCCCCTGCCCCAGCATCTGAGGGTGGAGGGTCCCTTGGGAAAGGGGGATCAGGCACAAATGCAACCTCCTGCAGCATAAACAGTGGCAGGAGACCTTAAAATTGGGGACAGCCCCACCGGGTCATCCCCACCCCCAGCCCTGCACCCACCTGCTTGGTGAAGAGGATGGCGGTGTCCCAGTACTCGGGGTGCTTGTCGCTGACTTTGTTCCACTTTTTCTGCCAGGCGCAGAAGTTGCGGAGGGTGAGGGCGGCGTTGCCAGTGACCTTGGGCCCTTTGTCATCTTGCCCGATGAGGAGGAACTTGACGACAGCGATCTGGATGGGATTACGGATGCTGGGGTGCTTGTAGAGGCGAGCGGCCGTGGCCATCAGGGTGAGCAGGTA